ATGTAGTATAATAACAAGTTATGTAGTTGTATAACTTATATGCTAACGAAAGAAAGATGATGAGAGAGAAACTTCATACAACAAAGGAAGACTCGTAACAAATGAAGGAGGGGGTAAAGAGTAATAACACCTTCGAAGTGTCAGAACAATGTCCCACCAATTTACTGTTTTTCCCATTTAGCAAATTTTGAACAGATTTTAGATTTTCTAGCAAATTCACTCTTAAATTTAATCTTACATAACATAATTTTATTAGTTGGAAAACAAGGAGGTGAATAATGGGATTCACCCCTAGAAGTCAATCCAAGAATTATTTTTTGATATGGAGAGTGTTTTCGGCCGTGAACTACAACTTCGTATTAAACAAAAACCCAATGTAAGTCCAATATGATGTGTGAAGACCATGTGTGTTAGGGATTTTTTTGTACATACATGAGCTAAACACATTTTATTGGGCTTGTATTGGGCTTTCATTAATATTTTGAAGTCGTTCGGATTGTGAACTACCAGAGAAAAAAGCTTCCATCTAACCATAATATTGTGGTAGTCCTTAAACCAATTCTGGTTGCTTCCATGCTTTTCAATTTGTTGTGGCATGAGATCAAGTTTTTTTTTTTTGCTACGAATATTAATATCATATAAATGAAAAAGGAGCTACAAAGTGCAGACCTATTACAGAGCTTCCTTGGCAAAAAAAAAATAAAAAACATGGAGAACAATACAACGAATGGTGAATACAAAGCAGCTAGAATCACCTAATCCAAAGCAACATTAAGTTAGAAAACTGGCACTTCTGACGTCTTCTAGAGATTGTGTTACAGATAACACGGTCGATACTCCTGAAGATGGAAGAAGCAGGGATTCGCTGTTGATTGTGAAGAATATTGTTCCTCTGGATCCAAATGTGGTAAATAACAGCCTGACTAACCAACTTTCGCAGAATAGAAGGCGCAGCAGGAGTACTGACTCGTATCCAAGAGAGTAGCTCAGACCAAGATCTGAACAACTGCTGAGAGGGATTGAGCCTATCAAACACCATCTTCCAAAATGGCAGCGCTGAACGAACATTTGAGGAGCAAGTGATCACGCGTCTCGTCGCTGGTAGAGCAATAACAGCATTCTGCGGAAATATTCAACCCCCAAGAAGCCATCTTCACACGAGTGGGTAACCTGTCCAACTGAGCGATCCACATGTGAAACGCGTGCTTAGGGACCCACCTCTTGAACCAGATAAGATTAGCCCAGGGCTTAGGGGCATCCCTTGGTTTAACCTCATCCAAGTTTTTGCAGAAGAGAAAGATCTACTTCTAATTCCATTAAGAACCCAACAATGGTAATCAGCAGGAGCAGATAGAGATGGGATGCAAACCGTTGTAAGATGGGCGTGGAGACTAAGCTGCTCGTCTGATCTCGCGTTAGGTAATCTCCACCCAGAAGCATTACAAGCCTCACTAACTTTAGCATCAATTGCTATTCTGAGATTCCGAGGACCAAAAGGTCCGAAGAGGTTAATAAGAGGACCGAGAGGGGTCTAATGGTCCCACCAGAAACTGGTGCTCAGTCCATTACCGACGACTGTCCTTAGAAATCTCCCAGCTAGAGGACGAAGGCTAAGAAGTGATCGCCAAGTCCATGAATCCGATTGAGAGCTCTGAATTGCCCAAAAACTGATGTTTTGCAATATGCCATACCACCCACAAAGAAGCACTCCCAACCAAATGAAACGCAAGCAAAGAGGTCTGTTCCAGTCAGAGAATCTCCTAAGCCCAAGACCTCCCTCAGTTTTCGGCAGACACACCTTAGCCCATGCTACTTTAGCACCTTTACCAGATTAAATTCTCTCTGACCATAAGAACTTAGAGCAAAGATTTTCTATCTTTTTGATACAGCCTTTAGGGAGGATGAATGTGGATATCCAAAAATTCACAGTACCTGAAATAACCGAGCTGATGAGCTGAGTTCTGCCGGCATATGAGAGCAACTTGACTGACCAACATCTGAAGCGCTGCCTAATCTTTTCCAATAGTGGCTCATACTCAGAGATTCTCAACTTCCTGTGCATTAGCGGCAGACCCAAATACCGGATTGGAAGAGAGCCTAACTGGAAACCAAATCTCTGCATAGCACTTGCTTCAATGTCATTCACGCCGGCAGTGAAAAGCTGAGTCTTCTGACAGTTCATGTGAAACCTCAACCAAGATGCAAAATCATCCAGAGTTTCTCTTATGCTGTGAAAGGAGGAGCTACCACCATCGAAAAAAATCATAACATCGTCTGCAAACATCAGATGCGATATACTCAGCCCAGTGGTATTTGGATGGTAGTGAATATACCCTGCGTTGAATCTAGATTTCAGGAGCGAGGAGAACACTTCCATAGCTAAGACAAAGAGGTAAGGGGATAGAGGATTCCCTTGCCTTAGGCCTTTAGTACTTGAGAAGAAACCTCCGGACAAGCCATTAACTGAGATACTGAAGGAGGGAGTGGTGATACATTCGCTTATCCAGTTCACGAAAACAGCAGGGATATCGAAAGCACGAAGATCAGAGAGAACGAAGTCTCAGCGCACAGAATCGAATGCTTTGCGCAAGTCAACCTTGAGCATACCTCTGGAGTCAATGGGAGTTATAACCGTGCACAATCTCGGTAGCAAGAAGAACGTTCTCAGCTAGCAGACGACCTGGAAGGAAACTAGACCGAGCCGGAGAAATGATCGTATTCAACAGCCCTTGGAGACGGGAGGCCAATAACTTGGAGATGACCTTGTAACAGGTGTTGAGACAAGATATCGGTTGAAAATCCGCGAAGACGCGTCAGGGATCTTAGGAATCAGAACTAGCGTTGTGGCATTCCATTGCCTGAGTAGCTTTCCGGAGCTGAAGAATTCCTCAATGGAATCACAAACCTCGGGCCCAACGACTGACCAACAACCTGTGAAGAACTCTGCAGAGTACCCGTCTGGACCGCTAGTCTTGTTCTTTGGGAGATCGAAGAAAGAAGCTTTAATATTCTCTCTGGAGAAGCTTTTTGACAAGTCTATTTGCTGGTTACGAGAACATCTGAAAGGAAGGAGCAGATCCATGTCTTCCTGCAAGAGCATAGGCGGATCGACCTCACTGCCCAACAACTTGGAGAAATAGTCAACGCAATGATAAATCATACCGGTCTGAGACTCAATGCGGCTGCCATCAGAGTCCAAGAGAAAGTGTATTTGGTTGATGGCCATTCTTGATGTTGCCATACGATGAAACTATCTAGTGTTTCCATCACCATCTTGAAGCCAGAGGATCCTTGATTTTTGAAGGAAAAAAGACTCCTCAGCTTTCAACAGAATTCTCCATTTACAATGAGCTTCCAGCTCTGCGACAGCATTTAGATGAGAGGGAGAAGAGAGTGTTCTGTTCTGACACTGAATGAGCCTCTCATGCGCCTCTTGAACCCTCTTCTCTAGGTTCGAATAGTTGTTTCTGCTGAAAGCTCTGATAATGGATTTCAAGGTCTTGAGCTTTCTCGACACTCTGTACATTGCAGATCCTGTGGTATTGAGTGAAAACCAATGAAGGCAAACCACCGGAAGAAACTCCTGGTTCTGAAGCAGATAATTAAAGAACTTAAAAGGTCTCTTTTGCTTATCACCGACAAGCTCCAACATTACCTCACATGAGGCGTGGTCGGAGAAATCTGGTTCGCCGAAAACCGCATAAGAAGATGGAAAAGTTGCAAACCAGGAAGGGTTGATTAGAACTCGGTCAAGCTTTTTAGCCACAGGGCTCTCTTCGCATTTATTCCATCATGTCTATGTGTTTCCTCGAAAGTTGAGGTCGGTCAGCTCAGCAGTCATGAGACCAAGTTCTAAGACTTTTTATGCAATCTGTATGACTTGAACGTTTTTATTTTTGGAATAATATTTACATTTATAAAAAAAATAACTTAAATCACCAACTATTTCTGGTGGAAAGTTCTCCATAATACTCTTCCAACTGGAGCTAGTTTGAAGAGAAGGAAGCTATTGAGTGATACTTGTCAACGATGTGGTGAAGCACCTGAAACTGTTAACCACATGATATTCTGATGCCGGGTGCTTCAGAGAAATTTGGGACCATGCTCCGATCGCTATTATATCAGGTTCTTCGCTGACTCAAAATTCAGAGTCTCAATCCTTATCAAAGTAAAGAAGTATGTTATTCCCTTTCTTTGGTTGACATATCTGGAAGATGAGAAATGAACTCATTTTCCAAGAATAGCCAGCGTTCAATTCCAGATCTTATAAATAATTAAGACTTTTGTAGACTTTCAAATGTGGAAATAAATATTAAGCTTGAACCAACATCCGAATAGTCCCAATTCTCAGAATCAAAGCCACAATAATGATTTGTTAACCCTTGTTAGGACATTTGAGGAAGCCATCTCTAAGTCTTCAAATTATTGTTGCTTTGTTGATGGTTCTTGGATTGCTCCAAACCAGAATGCAGGTATTGGTTGGGTTCTATTTAACAAGATAAAGCATTTGGTCGTTAAAGGTATGGAAGCCATACATCCCACAGGCAGTCCAATTGAGACTGAAGCAATAGCTTTATGGACTGCAATCCTTCATGTGAAGCACCTAGGATATGATCACGTTACATTTTGTGGTGATGCAGTGAATCTGTATAAGGCTCTTCACAAGTCACAAAAAATCCAAGCCTGCAACAACTCTGACCACTCCTTGCTATCAACATATATTCAAAAGATATAAAAGACCTTGTGTGTTGTGTCTATGAGTGTTGGATTCAGTTTTTTAAGAGTGCCTCGTAATGTAAATTCAGCTTCTGATCGGTTTGCTAAGATTGCAAGAACTAGGGTATCAGGGAGTGTAATATTATGGAATGACACCTTGTAACTTGAAACTCTTGTTTGTTTTAAGGAAAAAATAATAATAATCACCAACTATTTTCGTTTTTAAAATAAATAAAAAAACGGCGCGAGGGTTTTAGGGAACAAATAAAAAAACGGCACACATTCCTGTTCTGCCTTTCTTCCCCGAGTTAGCGAAGAAAACTAGAGAAAGTAAAACAAAAGAGAGAATCTTCTCTGAATTTCATTCTATAAAATTTTTGGGATTTTTTTTTTTTTTAATCTGCGATCACGATCCTTCAATTTCTTTGCGAGAATGGAGAAAGTGAGGCAAGCATCGCATGCAGGCTCTTGGTATACCGACAATCGTGAGTTACTGACTTTTTCTCACCTCCTTCAAATTTCTTACTTTCATGCTCAAAGTTTCTTGTTTTGGTGTTAGAAATGTTTAATTTTGGGTTTCATGTTTTTATATTGACTATTCCTCGTTTGTTGATCACTGATGAAGTTTAAAGTTTTGATTTTGTGGTAACTGAAATCCGTTTGCTAATTGGACTTGAATTTGATCGGATGTTTAGTATCTGGGTTTTACGATTTGATTCTTCTTGATGAATAGTGAAATTGTTTGTGAAAACAAAAAGAATTAAAGCAGTGAGCTTTGACCACTTTATTTATTTTTCTTAATCTCTCTCGATTTGTGGAGAATCATTAGCTGTTTTATGTTTTTTCTGTCAGCTACAAAGTTGTCATCGGATCTCGAAGATTGGCTAAAAGCTACTAATTTGACCAAATCGCCTGACGTACGAGGTGTAATTGCCCCGTAAGTTGTGTGTTTGCGTCTCTAATTTTTTGCTCCATAAAAGTATATCAAAGTGTCTAACTTTATAACGAATCCAGGCACGCAGGTTATTCATACTCTGGTCGTGCAGCTGCCTATGCCTTTGCAAACATAGATCCCACCAACATGTAAGTAAGCTCGATTGATTTTGGGTTTTGCTTCTAACGCCTTGTGCTTTGGATAAAATGGATTCACTGTGATGCTTTGGAACGTCTCGTTTCAGTTCCCGGATATTTCTTCTTGGTCCATCTCACCACTATTATACTCCAAAATGTGCACTTTCGACTGCAACGGTTTACAAAACCCCCATTGGTGATCTACCTGTTGATGTGGAGAGTAAGTTTGGGTAGTTTCTCTTTCCAGAGATAGATTTTTCACTTGATGAGTAATTATGTTTTCTTATATATTCACCAGTGATTAAGGAGATAAGAGCTATGGGGAAATTTGGAATGATGGATCTCAGGGTCGATGAAGCTGAGCACAGCATGGAGATGCACTTGCCGTATTTGGCTAAAGTATTTGAAGGGTAATGTTAATGGTTTGGAACAACTATATTAAATAGCGTTGCGGAATTTTGCTGAGACAGGTCCATATTAATGTTTGAACAGGCACAATGTGAAAGTTGTACCCATCTTGGTTGGAGCAGTAAGTGCAGAAAATGAAGCCATGTACGGTGAATTGCTAGCCAAATATGTGGATGATCCCAAGAATTTTTTCTCAGTGTCATCTGACTTTTGCCACTGGGGCTCAAGGTTTGTCTTAGTTCACTTCATCTATGTTCTCTCATTCCCTCCTTTTCCGTCTTGTTGAGTCTGATCACTGATGAGAGTTTACTTTTGATCGACATTGGCTTATCTTTCTCTTTGTCTCTTTGCTTCTGCTGCATAACCAAATTTTCTGCTGCACTTTCCTAGCTTCCTATGATTGTGTTCATATGTTTTTGGTTATAGGTTCAATTACATGCATTATGACAACAATCATGGTCCCATACACAAATCCATTGAGGCACTAGACAAGAAGGGAATGGATATAATAGAGACAGGAGATCCAGATGCCTTCAAGAAGTACCTTCTGGAGTTTGACAACACCATTTGTGGGCGCCACCCGATTAGTATTTTTCTCCATGTAAGCATTAATGCTCCTACTTTGTTTCCTTGCTCTGGTCAGACTAATTCATCAAAAATAGCGTCAAAGCATCTTGATGATACTTTGCTTTAGATCCAACCAGTATAATGGATCGGATGGATAATAAAGGTGAATCTAGTGGTCAATTAGGTTCTCTCAAAGCTTATTGTTTCTGTTTATGTTTGTGATTCCTTTTCAGATGCTAAAACATTCCTCAAGCAAGATTAAGATCAATTTCCTGCGGTACGAGCAATCGAGCCAGTGCCAGACAATGCGAGACAGCAGTGTCAGCTATGCATCTGCTGCAGCCAGGTTGGAAAGTTGAACTAAAGAAAGTCGCATTCGGTTTCTACATTTCGGTTTCAAGGTCTTTGGGTCGAAAAATTTAATCTAAAATTGTTCACCAATGCAAAGAACCTTAGAAAACCAAAGGTTTCGTGTTTACAATCTTCTGTAATAAGAAAAGCACAAACTACAAGACCCTCCTCCTTTGACTAATATCTAATTTCTGCATTTCTCTCACAAGATACGTTCATACATGGGAATCACAAATTAAGTGTCTTGGGACTTATAACACACTGCTCATAATCTACAAAGACTGTTAACAAGAGATACATCAAAAGTTAACTCTTACAATCTCTTTACTTTCTGAATATTCTGGCAAAGCTTGCTTCCGGTGCCGTCTCTCTCTACTGTAGATGATCCAGAACATAAGTGAGAGCATCACAGCCGTTGATAATATCGCCAGACCCACATAGACCCAATAGCCATAACGCGTGAGTCCTGGACAATGATCATTGGTTATGTCTCTAAAGGTCTGCTTTGCGTATGAGCAATCCTGAAGCTGGACCAGGAATGGTGCGTCTCTGATCAACCCGGTGCTTATGTTCACACATGATGCCATCTGACCGTACAATGCCGGTGTGAGCCTCCCAGTTGTTAAGCAAGTCCCGTTTGGGTTCACTTGGCACACGAAAGTGCTCCATGCCTGTTAGAGTTTGGTTTAATTTGATTTTTACTGCCATCCTTTTGACTAAAACAGTTTCAACAGTATATGAATGCTAAACGAATAGACAGAGGGACTTTACTTGAGTAGCATTGTTCAAATCGAGCTCACCAGGTGAGCAAGGACGATCGGTGAGGTCATGGTTAAAGGGATTGCAGAGCAATGGAAGCAACGGTCCAGACTGGTTGTAGTACATTGGGACAAAGACTGGAGAGAAGTTGATGTTGGAGACATTAGTGATGACTGTGTTGATGAGATCCACGAGCTGACCCGTCACCTCTCTGCCACGCATCAAAGTTTCCTGAGCTGTGGCATTGTCTGTACAAGGCAAGATCTCGTCAAGAGCCGTGTTGCTTGAGGGTCTCTCTACCCATTCACTCATTGCTACACATGTGTCTGCAGTTGCACTGATGCTCAAACAAACACAATAAGGTTTTGAACTAACAAAGAAGAAGAAGCGGAAGTTAATGGAGGAGAATCTTGAGACATACTTGTGTAGCAGAAGGAATATTCCGCTCAAGATGAATGTACCAGTCACCAAAATCCAACCAAGAATCACAAGGCTGCACAAAAGGAAGAGGATTCAGGTAATTTTTACTCATGAAAATCGCAGGGACAACATTTAAGGGTTTCACTCACGTGTAAACGATGACCTGCATCCCGAAGATTGAAGAAACTGCAATAGAAGATATGAATTAGAAAAGATCAATAGAGTTAACACAGTAGTTGAAACTAAAGAATCATGTGTAGTGAAAGATGTTGAACTTGCAGGCTATACAAACATAAGTTCATTTCCAAGAGCATTACAAAGGTTGAAAACAGTACAAACGATTCAGATTTGCAGACTTACCAAGACCAAGAAATATCAAGACAAGCATGACGATTGAAACTACAATAAGCGCCACCTTCCTGCAAAGACAACAAAGTCCCGTTACGCTGTTCAAAAATCGTGACTCTGTAACAGAGAGAGTGTTAGGAGTTGTTGTTACACGGAATCAAGGAAATGTCTAATGTCATTGGAGCTATTAGTGGTTTTCTCAGTGATCGTGGCTACAGAAGAATCCAGCTTCGCTCCAATTTGATCGATTTCAGTTTGGACATTTGCAGGTAAAGAGACCTGAAGAACTGCAATCTGCTTTGCTGAAGCAAGATAATCCGAAATAGCTCTAAGCTGTGAAACTGTACTATCGGCTTGGCTCATGACGTACTCTAATGTCTCTGTAGTGCTTTTGTTGTACCTGACCTGACCGGAGTATAGCAGAAGACATCCGATTCTGCGATAAGAACAAGTCAAATGCTACATAAAAACGTTCAATGAAGAAACAAGCCAAATCATAAACGTGGATTGAGCAAAGTAGGTGTTTTCTTCTCTTACTCACATTGCCATAAGAGTGAAGAAGAGGAGGAAAATGAGGGAGACAACATAAGCAACTTTTGAGTATCCAATAGATTTGCTTCTATGGCATATGTGACAGATACAGATAACCAATAAACAGATACCAAACCCAAGAAACCAAACAGCAGCAACAACAAAGAGAGGAACAGCTGTATAGCTCACAGACTGCAAATTTCAAAACACAAAATATATCAAAATCACCAGAACATCTAAAAGATGGGCATAGATAGAGTCAAGAGGCAGACTAAAGTGGAGAGATCTTACAGCCCAGTAATGGTGATTGCTGATATTCCATCCTCCAGTATATTTCTGGAAACCATTTAGAGGATCTTTTCTGAATGTTCTTTGAGCAGCTAAAGCTACTGAAGTATCTTCAGTCACTTGAGGGTTATTGTAAAAAGGTCCGTTTAATGGCGCTTCGGCCACTATAAATCTCATTGCAGGATTTTCAAACCCGATATTCTCAGAAGCTGAAACAGATAATCAGATTGAAATTGAGAAGGAAACGAACAGAAAATTGTACTAAATGCTCAAACTTTTTCATTTTTCTCCTCAACCCTAGAATTGCATTAAGATAATGTTAAGGTTCAAGTAGAATCTGCAGAGAAAAAATTGGACTTTTGATAACTTTTCCAGATTATATGCAAAACCCATTGTGAATCAGTTGGAAATCTTTGAAGGATTCCGCAAAGTTGTGATTTTTTTGGGGAGCAAAGTAGAGTTCTGGCATTGTCATTGAATAACAAACAGAAAAATGTAGAAGAAGAGAAAATATAAAAATGTGAGTAGTCCTCTTTACTTTCCCGGAAAAGAGAAGCCTTTCTCGAGAAACAAGTTGAAAGAGAGTACAGGAAAGTAAGAGAAAGGAAGTAAGAAAGAAACACAAAGACAAACCTGTGGGAGGCTGAGTAGGAGGAATGTAAATAGTTGAAGCTCCATGAGCAAGAGAAAGAGCGGTAAAGAAGCAACATAATAAGAGAAGAAGAGCCATTCACTACTACTGTGACGCAACCTTGAGAGGCGAGAGCGAGAGAGAGAGTTGCAGACTTGCAGTGGTGAAGAAGCAGAGGAGAGAGAAAGAAAGACAATGAAACACAAATTTGCTTTTTTCCTAATTTCAATGACCCCACACAAGACTTTTGGTGTAATGAGTTTATACTGAAGATACACAATTACTGGGTTTTGCAGGAATTTTGGACAATGGAATCTAGTAGATTTTAAAACTATGTTAAGATTTAGGGTTATACAATAAGTAACTTTTAGCGCGTGTTACTGTTTTTCTATTTTTTGAAATCTCAAATATTTGGTTTGGTCATAAGAGATTTCAGATTTTATGGTATTAGTATTGTTTAAAAATGGATACGAATCGGAGACTCTAAAATATTTAAAAAAATAATACAGTCTACAGAAAAACAAATACTTCTATTCAAAACTATTTGATGTTTGTTATAAATAAATGGACTTCTAGTAACCGGCCCATTAACCATCAGGTTAATGTCTCATGGTCCATTAGGGTTTCTGATACATTAGTTATGTAATGTATATATACAATGTTTATGGAAATAATAAGATCAAAGTTTTTCCCTTAATACGTTATCAGCACGAAGCTCAACTTCAAACGATCATATCTCTCAAAATACAAGGAGTTAGAAGGCGATCTACATATCATTTTGAAGCCTTGGAAGAGAAAAATCTAGTGGTGAAAACCGCTCCTCAATCCGACACCAGACGCGCCCTCACGACTCAAAACAATCGGCGCTGTCCCACCTTAGCGGGTGATTCTTTCCAAGCGGTGGTTCCTCCATTGTAGCAGCTGTTCGTCCTCCCTTCTGGCCATCATTCTCAGGAGTTTCCAGTAGATATCGGTGGTCTTTAGCTCCCAGATCATAAGCCGGTCAGAAATCCATTTGGCGAAAAGGTATTATCTAAAACTATAGATCCTAATCAAAGTTTTGGTTTTTTTTTTTTTTGAAAACCCTAATATGGATCGGTTCTTTTCATGATTCTTCATCGTCTTTTTCGTTTTTAAAACCATAACCAGATCCTCTTTCTTCTTGTCAAAACCCTAATTGGTTTTATTTTTCCTAATTGGCTTTATTATATAAAACCTAAACCCTAATGCTTTGTTCAAATCCTAAACCGATCGGTGCACCTCCGATAAAACCCTATACCGATCGATCCACCTAAACCGTTTATAAACCGATAAATTCTAATCCTAAATCGATAGGGTTTAAGTTTAAACCGATCGGTTTTTCCTAATAAAAATTAAACCCTACCAAATCCGTTTAGTTTAATCCCTTAACCGATTAATAACCCTAATAACCGGTTTCCAAAATTAAATCTAATTTAACCGGTTTTATTGTTTAATCGATCAATCCGATCGGTTTAAGCTTAATCGGTTAATTTCAAATTAGTTTCCAAAATCAATCTCTAGATTTTTTAAAAAAATGGTTAAGAGATAAACCAACGTTTATCTATTAGAGCTAAATTTGGAAACCCTAGTAAACCGGCTAGGTTATAAACCCTAAGGTTCGATTTTAGAGTTCCCTTATATAGCAAGTTTTCTAAAATAGCAAGTTTCCTGAAATGGAAAGTTTTCCCAAGAATACCTTAAATCCCTTATTCCAATGACCATAGTCTTATACTATTGATTATTTAACATAAATTATTATATGTTTCAGATGTCAAACATTCAGAAGGTCGAATATGAGGCACTCACTGTCTCTGGAGATAACTACCTCAAATGGGCCCTTGACACCAAGATCTACCTCAACTCAAAAAGTCTGGGTGAATGCATCAAAGATCCCAACACCGCGACTCAAACAGAACGGTACTCGGCGATATTTATTATCTGCCATCACCTCGCTGAGTCTCTCAAGCAACAATACCTCACTCTTGAGGATCCACTCGAACTTTGGGTGGCACTGAAAAAGCGATATGACCATCAGAAAACGGTCATACTGCCCCAAGCCAAGTTCGACTGGAAGAACCTATGTGGCGAGGAGGTCACTGATAAGGATATGCTAGAGAAAACATTCTCTACTTTTGGCACTCCCAATGTTGTTCTCCAACAACAATACCGTGCCATGAATCATAACACCTATGAGGATTTGATATCTTGCTTACTGCTTGCTGAGAAGAACAATCAGCTTCTGTTGAGGAACAGTGCCATGCGGCCTCCAGGATCAGCCCCATTGCCAGAAGGAACCAGAAAAGAGTCCAACTTCGTCCAACGTAACAGATCCTCAGATCGTGGACGTGGACGTGGAAATGGACATGGACTGCGCGGCAGAGGACGCGGTAGACCGAACCAAGATAACCGACCTAACCTCAGTTTTGGTCGGGGTAAGGGTCGTGGTATCAACAAACCGACCCAAAGAGGCAGTTCATCTAGACCAACTCCTTGCTCAAGATGCGGAATGACTAATCATTGGGTCAAGAACTGCCGTACTCCCAAATATCTTGCTGAGCTCTACCAGAAGTATGGGAAAGATAATCATGAGGCTAACCTGGTTCATCAAGTCAATGAAGATGACTCAAAGGATGATAAGATTGATGGCATGGATTATGAGCTCTCCGACCTTCTTGATTGATCTCAAAAATCTGAATTTGTTTTTCATTACTCCTTAAACTTTTATCTTTTGTTTTTGGGATTTATTGTCTTTACTTTGGATTTTTAAGACCTTTTGCTTTTACATTTTAATTTATGGAGTAATGTTTTATTTACATCTCATTTTTGCATGTTATTGAATTATAATTCTTGTTTAATGAAGATATGCAAGACAATATGGATATCATTGTGGATAGTGGATCGAGCCACACCATTCTAAAAGACAAGAATTACTTCATAAATTTAGTAATCAAAACCGCAAACATTAGCACTATAGCGGGTAGTTCGAGCCTAATAGAGGGCCATGGCCAAGCTAATGTGCTGTTATCAAATGGCACATATCTAGACATCTCTGATGCCTTATACTCACCCAGTTCTAAGAGAAACCTATTGAGTTTCAAAGACATAAGATTGAATGGTTTCCATATCGAAACTCAGGATGAAGGGAACAAAGAGTTTTTAATTATCACTAAAATGATAAATGGCCATAAACAAGTTTTTGAAACTATACCCGCCGTATCTACTGGCATTTACCATGCTAAAGTCAGTATGGTTGAGGCTAATGCTGCTATCAAAGCACGGTTTTTAGATTACACTATTTGGCATGATCGCCTGGGTCATCCCGGTGCGAACATGATGCGTAAATTAGTCCAGAATTCTAAAGGGCACAGCCTTAAACCAAATGGTATTTTCCCTCAGCACCTCAAGTGCACAGCTTGCTCACAAGGGAAACTGATTACCCGACCTTCACCAGTCAAAGTGTCTAAAGAGACCTTGAACTTTCTGGAAAGAATCCAAGGAGACATATGTGGACCAATTCACCCACCTTGTGGGACATTCAAATATTTCATGGTCCTCATTGATGCATCGACCCGCTGGTCGCATGTCTGTCTGCTCTCTTCTAGGAACCAGGCTTTTGCTAGGTTATTGGCCCAAATCATCAGATTACGAGCCCATTTTCCAGACTTCCCATTAAAGACTATACGTCTTAATAATGCTGGTGAATTCACTTCCCAAGCGTTTAATGAATATTGTATGTCCATGGGGGTAAGTGTTGAACATCCCGTTCCACATGTCCATACACAAAATGGATTAGCTGAATCCTTCATTAAACGAATTCAATGGGTTGCTAGACCATTACTCATGAGGTCACAACTCCCGGTCTCAGCTTGGGGACACGCAGTCTTACATGCCGCTGAACTAATAGGCATACGACCATCTAGTGAGCATAAATATTCACCATCCCAATTGCTAACGGGTCATGAGCCAGACGTCTCCCATATTAAAACATTTGGGTGTTCAGTCTATGTACCCATTGCACCACCACAGAGGACTAAAATGGGACCTCAAAGGAGGATGGGAATATATGTTGGTTTTGATTCTCCCACCATCATAAAATATCTCGAGCCAACTACAGGAGATCTGTTTAAAGCCAGATATGCAGATTGTCGATTTGATGAATCGGTATATCCTAGATTAGGTGGTGAGACAGACAAGCTGGTAAAAGAACTTTCATGGAATCAAACATCCACACAATGGCAAGATCCTCGGACTCTAGAATGTGATTCAGAGGTCCAAAGAATTATACATTTACAAAAGCTAGCTAATCAATTGCCAGATTCCTTTGCTGACCCGAACAAAGTTACCAAATCGTACATACCAGCTTGTAATGCACCAGTACGAATAGATGTCCCCTCAGGGAAAAGTCAAGTTGCTACAGAGTCTGACGCACGTAAGAAACGTGGCAGACCACCAGGTTCCAAAGATAAGAATCCCCGGAAATCAAAGAAAGGTGCAATGATTGAAACCGGGATTCAAGAGAACACGGATACAGCCTCAGCTGATACTTACCCTATCGAACCATCTCAAGAGGTTTGGGACGCCAAAACTCAAGGTTCTGAAGGGATTGATAATAATGAGATCTCAATCAATTATATCATATTCGGTTCTCTATGGAACAGAAAAGATGTCGACATCAATGAAACTTTTGCATACAAGGTAGCACTTGAGATTGTGCACACGCAAGAGGATCTAGAACCCACGTCTATAATTGAGTGCACTCGTAGATCAGATTGGCTGAAATGGAAAGAAGCCATAAACGTGGAGTTGAATAGTTTAAAGAAACGGAATGTGTTTGGTCCGATCTTAAGGACACCATTCGATGTTAAACCAGTGGGAAACAAATGGGTCTTTGTGCGTAAAAGAAACGAACTCGGCGAAGTCGTTAGATACAAGGCACGCCTTGTAGCACAAGGATTCTCACAGAGACCCGGAATCGATTATGAGGAGACTTATTCTCCAGTGGTGGATGCAACTACATTTCGATTCCTCATAAGTCTGGCCATAAGAGAAAACTTAGATTTGCGGTTAATGGATGTTGTAACCGCATATCTTTATGGACCACTGGACAGTGAAATCTATATGAGATTACCAGATGGTATTGAGCTCAAAGATAAGCATGCATCTCGTGATAAACACTGCATTAGGCTGAAAAAATCCTTATATGGACTGAAACAAAGCGGACGTATGTGGTATAACCGGTTAAGCGAATATCTCATCAGAGAAGGCTACGAAAACGATCCGATCAGTCCATGCATCTTCATCAGAAAATATCAAAACAAAGGATTTGTAATCATAGCAGTATACGTGGATGACTTGAACATCCTCGGAACATCTGGTGAAATCGCCCAAACAGTTGAATGCTTAAAAGCAGAGTTTGAAATGAAAGACTTAGGCAAAACTAAATTCTGTTTGGGATTACAACTTGAGTACGTCAATGACGGAATCCTTGTGCATCAATTGGCATACACTGAAAAGGTACTCAAGAGATTCAATATGGACCAGGCCCACCCATTGACCAGCCCAATGGTTGTGAGGAGCCTTGGATTGGATAGTGATCCATTCGGTCCAAAGAAGGACGATGAAGAAATCCTCGGTCCTGAAATGCCATACCTCAGTGCCATAGGAGCATTAATGTACTTGGCTAGTCACACTAGACCAGACATCTGCTTTGCCATGAGCCTCTTAGCTCGCTTTAGTTCGTGTCCAACTCAAAGGCACTGGAACGGTATTAAGCACATCCTTAGATACCTTCAAGGTACTAAGGACTTGGGATTATTTTATTCTAACCATAACAAGGATGGTCTAGTTGGTTTTGCTGATGCAGGATATTTGTCAGATCCGCACTGTGCCCGGTCTCAAACCGGTTATGTTTTCACGCATGGAGGAACAGCCATATCTTGGAGATCCATGAAGCAGACTATTGCCGCTACCTCATCCAACCATGCGGAAATCTTGGCCATCCACGAAGCTAGTAGAGAGTGTGTTTGGTTGCGGTCCATGACTCAGCATATCCGATCAGATTGTGGTATGGACGAAGATAAGGAGCCTACGGTGATGTATGAAGACAATGCAGCTTGTATCGCTCAACTCAAGGACGGCTACATCAAAGGTGACCGGACGAAGCATATTCTGCCCAAATTCTTCTTCACTCATGAGCTGCAGAAGGATGGTCAGGTCAAGGTTCAGCAAGTCCGATCAAGCGAAAATTCAGCCGATCTATTCACTAAATCATTACCGACTTCTACACTCCGGAAGCTCATTCATCAGATAGGAATGCGTAGACTTAGAGATCTACAGTGATGCCTAAACCAGGGGGAGTAATGCGTATTGTACTCTTTTTCCTTCACCATGGTTTTTCCCACTGGGTTTTCCTGGTAAGGTTTTAATGAGGCAACGTTCCCCAGCGCATTATAGAGATCCCGGTTTTGTGACAGGCACGGTTACCTTGTCCAAGGGGGAGTGTTATAAACAAATGGACTTCTAGTAACCGGCCCATTAACCATCAGGTTAATGTCTCATGGTCCATTAGGGTTTCTGATACATTAGTTATGTAATGTATATATACACTGCTTATGGAAATAATAAGATCAGAGTTTTTCCCTTAATAATGTTTAAAAAAATTTTGCACACAGATTAATAATTTATTTAATTTTTATTTTTTCTGCACTAAAAATATTATTTATAATTTATTTAAATAGTTCAGCTAATAAGAAGACAATCTGTAGAATATAAAAGGTAAAAACAATAAAAATTCATTAAATTTTATATTGAAAAGTGAGAATATCAAATAATTCTAAACAAAAAAAACTCATAAAACATCAAATAATTCTGAAAAAAAGAGTATTAGATATCTCTTATAATGTGATGCAGCCTATAGCATAGCAAGCAGACATGACCTATTGGATTTCTCATGGAAAGTGAGACGACTCCTAAGTAACAAACACAATTTTGAGCAAATGAAATACTGTTAAAAATACTTGATATGCAGGTAAAAGATCTTTCAATAGTAGAACCGATTTTAGAGTTTATGGGACCATTAATTTCAAATTGGTTTCTAAAAATTTGAAAATCTTTTCAGAGCCGTACTTGTTTAATAAAATACTCTCCTCCCAAAATGACAAAAAGCACGATATTAATCGGAGAAGTCAGAAAATCAAAAAGAGATTTATTTTTAAGGCAGGCTTGATCCGCAACTTAATCTACTTATCCAAAGTTTTGTGGAGTGATAAGTGTATAGGAATGAGTATCCGGTTACCTAAGATAGCAAATGGTTACTATGGCGTTTCTTATTTCAGCCAAAACATTATGAAATTCATAAATGACCATCGATCAATTTAAAGCTTAAACCATAAAGGCATAAAACTCTTCACCACTACTCATCAGCTTTAGTTCACCAAACACTCAATTTCTTCTAACATAAATTAAACATTTATTATACAAATAAAATTATATTTCTTACAAATGACGGAAAACGTAGTTTGAAATGAGAAATGAGTTCCTTGATTTATTTATACTAGGTGTTTGGTCCACACGGGCAGAAACATTTCTTTAAATAGCCACATTAATTAGATAATTAAATTTATTACTAGTAATAAATCAAAAATAAATATGAAAACAATGTAAGACATATGATCAACAAAA